CTATGGTTATTCCTATTGCATATGTCCTCTCGGGACATCAAAAAATATTATTCGCAGTTTAGATATGTTTATTTTCGTTGCAAAAAGGCCATGCCTCTTAAATTAAAGAGGGCTTCCTTTGCCAAAATTATGATTTATCACACTACAGCTCTTTATTCAGGACCTTCAGTACTTCAGTAGATCCTCCTTCAAAAATTCTTCAAAATTAAAACTTGTAGTAATGTCTGCTACAGAAAATGTGCATCCAGTGCAGATAGAGTATGGTCGACTGTCTGTGCCATAAACACTCTCTTAAGCTCCCCGGAGGGCTTATAGAGAAGGAAAGAGAATTCTATAGAGAGCTTTCAACATAAGGAGCTTGAGTCTCGGTATACCCTGTGAACAGACTCGCCAGGAAAGAAAAGCGCCACAGGAGTGGTCGGCAGAGAAAGCAAGCTACCGTGAACGTGGTAAATACTGATTTTCATTTTTTAAATTATGATTGTTTGTATCACTGATAACTGTTTTAATTTGTTACCTTGTGTAGTGATTGCCCTTATCCTCTTAGTTTTACCAAGATCAACCTTAAGCCACTGGTTGTCTCGATCATTGGCACACCACGCTCCAATCCTCTTGTTGTCTTGATCGTCCTCAAAGTAAAGACGAGCATTATCCGCCGTTGCCCTCCAGGTGCCTAGAGATAATTCAGAAACGTTTATTTATTCTCAGCATATTGCTCGTACTTCAGGATCTACGTTGCTTAGTTTAGCCTGTGGCTAATCTCAGCGCGACACTGGTAGAAAAAAAAAATCAATTAAGATTGATTGAATTGACACAAATGAAACGCACCGGGCCTGTATTCCGATGACGCGCTGAATGCGCTGTCGGGTAGTTGGTAGTTTCCAGGCCATCCAAGACCAAGACCGTCAGAACAAGAACCTGCATGGTCAAATATAAAACTGAGGTTCAATTCTGTAAGACGTTATCAATTGAAAGTAAATCATGCACGGGTTATTTTCAACATGGAGCTGCCTCGACCATGCAGAATAATTGTCTAGAGGAGTGAAAAACGGCAAGCTAGGGAAAACGAGGAATTCTATTTACCTGTAGGCTTGACTGGATGAGTATCACACCGTGTCTTGCAGCTTATGCGGCAGTTTCTTTCAGTCCAGCCATTAGTTTTACAGTCACCCTGAGAAGCCCACGATGGACAACTTTTACGCTTGTCTACACACATCAAGCCTGAAAAATAATTATAACATATTGTATAGTTACATATAATAAACCTGCTTATCGTGACAAACTTCAAGAATGTGCTTGTAAATCAGTTTGAGCGGACGGTTTTCGTAAGGTATGAAAACTGGAGCAGCAAATGCACCTCACTCAGACTGTAAAGACTTCTCGTTTTAATTTACTCATCAAGAACTTAAGCAATTTTGAAATAAAATAACGAAAGCTTCACATCACATATACTAAGGCTGAAAAGGAACATGCCAAGGGTACGGCATTCCACAAGTAGAGCTAGAGAGCTCAAAACAGGCAAAAGTCAAACTCTCTGCCATTGTCGCGCCAGTAGTCATAAAATACATCTTGTAGGGGTCATTATTACTGTTTCCCATCCAAAAGCCTTACTATAGAAGCAAACAACTAAACCAGAACAATTTTGGCGGAAAGGGGGTAAGGGATTTGCGTGCCATCTGTAGCAAAATTACTTTTCGACATATTACGACATATTACGACTCATATTACGACATATTACGACTCATCAAATGTCAAAGTCAAAGACACATGAAACAGGTCGAAATAGGTCGGAAAAAATTAATGTGTTATCATCATGTCACGTAATTCTGTCTCGAAATAAGATGGTTGTCATACCTATACCATGTAATGCGAAGTTCGTAATGAAGTATGCCATGTAATGTGAAGCGGGTAGTGAGGTTCGACCCTTAGTTACTGCCTGTTGTTAAGGACAGAAAATGTTCTTGTACATGAAGCCTATTTACCCCAGTTTCTCTCGGCTCGATACAGTTCCCCCATATTTTGATCGTCGATTTTAGGTGTTTCGAAGATTTATCTCGGCGGCAGAAGTCGCTTTTCTTATCCATATCGTTTTAATCTGCTTTTTCTTGTGGCACAGAGGGTCACGAACACATCTTGCGTTTTTAAAGTGTATATTTATGCTTTCTGGACAAGCAGGAACCAGGCAGAAATCGCCGAGAGGAAAATTGTACTTTCGAGTAGTTTTGAGAAAGACAGACCAATGAAAAAGAAATTAACTAATAATAACTTTTTAAAGGAAGTTAAATAGCCCGACTCAAAAAATTTTGGAAAAAATGTTTTCAAAGTACTGTAATTGACAGTAGAGAGACACTTACTATGATCTTTAAAAAAAATAATTATACAGTGTTTTTGGAAAATAATTTATTTTTGGAAATTGGAACTTGAAAAAGAAACTTCTTTACATCGGTAAATAAGAAAAAAAATCACTGTATATTGGAGAAAAGATGACATTTGAAGATATTCTATCGTTCTATTTTTAAAATTATTTTTTATTGGGAAATATAACAAATTTCGTGAAAAAAATGAAAAAAAACATTTATTGGAAAACAGAGAAAATGGGAAAGTCATTTTACATTAGAAATTACGAGAAACTTATGAAAATGCGAAATTATTATACGGTATTGGCAAGAGAATATTATCATAATCTCTTGGCATTGGAAAATCGGACAACGTTGAAAAATTATGTATTATTGTAACATCAAAGCTCTTTTGACATATTATGAAATAAAGAAAAGAAATGGAAAAAAACATTGTATATTGTATAGGAAAATTATTCTTAAATTGGAAAATATGAGAACACTGGGGAACATGTTATTTATTAGAAAAAGAGAAAATCGAAACTGATTTTATACCGTGAAAAAAGAAAAAAACGAAAAAATTATAAATGAGAGATTAAAACAAAAAAATTAAAAATAGAGGATCACTGAAAAGTTTTTCATATTAAAGAGTAAGAAAAAATGAGAAATAATTATACCGGTGATGAAAAAAAGGAGAAAATTATTTATGGTAAATAATAAAAAAAATTGGAAAGTTATTTCTATTGGAAAAACGAGACGAAAGAAATGAAGAAAAGTTATTACTCATGGGAAGTTCTGAAAATGACGGTAAAAGTAGAAATTAAGAGAACGTAACACGTGTGTTGTTTTGGTAGTGGTGGTGGTGGTGGACAATGGTGCCCGGTGCTGATGGTGGTGGTGCTGATGCTGGCTGGTGATTTCGGTTTTCTCTCCTTCCGCGTCTTCTGATCCAGGCCGAGGGAAAGGCCCTTGCCTTGTGGCCCATTCCTCGGCAGTTAAAGCAGCGTACTATGGGAGATAAGATAATAAATATATATGAATGTAAAATTTAAAAATTTCGAATATTACATAGGGAATAATAAATACACATGGTCGTGTAGATGAGGACTTTTTGTTCGATTGTTCTGATCTTACTAGTTATGCAACACTTTCGAGTGGTAAACCATGGAATATCCCACGAGTCGCTTGTATTTTCTCGGTATACACGCGAACCTTTAGGCGGTGTGTATACCGAGAAAATACAACTGAGAAGTGGTATATTCCATGGTATACCACGGGTGAGCGTTGTATAAATGATTTATACCAAGCCATAGAGAATTTAATACGAGACTAATGTCACGGGCGAAGCACGGGAAAAACTGTGCAAGCGAGATAGTTACAATTGATGTTGGTTTAATTAACTTTTGA